TATATATATATATATATATATATATATATATATATATATATATATGTGTGTGTGTGTGTGTGTGTGTATGTATATGTATATAATACGTTCAAACGAGAACAACAAAAAATTGAGAATGAATGCTGGTCATCCATTCTCGAATGCTATTTTTATCGAATTTTTCTGAGTCTTTCAATATTTAAATTTTTTATTCTCTATAAATCAACATTTATATTAATATATTTTTTTTATAAAGAATAATTTTAATATACTTCAGCTCTCTTCATGTGTATTATTCACATTTGAATAAAAAATGCATGTATTTTTGTAACAACTTATTTGTTATTCACATGTGAATAACAAATACGAATAAAAACTGGATACACGGTTTATTCATATGTGAATAATACGCATGACGAGAATTGATGTAAAAAATTAAAAAATCTGTATTTACTAAAAAAGGTATATCAATATGACTGTCTATTTGTTTTTTTTTTTTCGATAAAATATATTTAGTGGTTGAGATTTATTCTCGCATTCCCAACCATTTTTCAATAAAATAAACTATATAACTCTAGATATATATAGTTTATGTGATCTTCAAGTGGAGCAGCGAAATGCAAGAATTCCAGATATACCTCCCTTTCTTGAAAAAGATGCTGCAGAAAATAAATCAAAAGGAAGTTAGATATAGATGAATGCAATATTCATAACCATGTGTTTGCCATTGTTGAGATTAAAGGAGGTTAGAAATATATACCTGTAGAATCCCCAAGCTAAGTATAAGAAGCTTGGCAGTGCGGAGGTGTTGAAGCAGACGAACTATTTCATGAGCATCTGCATCAGATGTATAGTACATACAGAGGTCAGCCTTCTCCAAACAAGGGAAACCTGGTGTACAAATCTGCCATGGATGAGAACCTTCTATGACCAAGGAGGCAAGCCCAGGTGTAGAAATCAGAAGCTTCCCAGTGCACCATTTAATAGTGAGGGTCTTGAGTTGAGGTGCAACCCCATTCACATACTCCTTCAATTCAATATCCATAAATATATATATTCAAGTGTAAGATCAGAAAGTCGAGGAAGACAAATATTCAACACTTTTGCTCCCTTCATTAATGTACATAGTCTTAAGGAGAGGTTCTTCAAATTGGTGAACTTGGAGAAAAAATCATTATCATCAGACAATTGGATATGATGAAGATGCAATGTCGTTAAAGCTGGGAGGTCCCATGCTGGTGTGGCAATAGATGATAATCGGTAATCGAAGGGGCGTTCACCAATTTTCTCAGGCGCGCGTGTAACACTGAGTTGTTGGACATAGTGAGAAAAAGCGCATTTGAGAATTATTGTGATAGATTCATCGTCTATAACTGTTCTACCAAGAACAAGACTGACCGAAGAAACTTGTGTTCCATTATCACAGTGAGACAAAACATTAGATATAAATTTGGAGATGCTGGGCCCATTATTGAGATTTTCGAAAGTCAGATAGGGCATTGAAGTCCAGATAGACCTCCATTTAGATGACAAAACACTGGTTGCTATTGCATCTCTGATGCTCATAAAAGAAATGATTTTATGGATAAGATCATCTGGCAAGCTGCTCAGTCTATCGTTTTCTACATCCATTGCATCTTTCATCCTAGCAGATCCAACCAGATCCTTATGCATTTTTTTTGGCTCCAAAATCCCTGCAATGGAATACAACAGAATGCTGCCTACAATCAGGACATTCAAAACCAACCGACTAAATTCTACAATTTTCCATAAGGTTAGTTTGTGTGGTTTAAAAGCTCTACAACCAAAACAATGAATTAAGCGACAATTATATAAAGTTTCCAGGATCATTCAATACCTTAAATGTTATTTTATTTCTACCTTCTTTTTTCTTGGTGGCGGATCCAAAAATTTTCTCAGTTGGAAGCTAGTAATTAGTTATATGATCCTGTCAGGTTATATTGTTTAAAAGTGGGTCGGGTCGATCCAAAGCTTTCCAAAATCCACAAGTAAGCTGCAAGCAACAACAAAAAACTCTCATAAGTAATGAACTATATCTACAAAATATATAAGTGTTGCTTTTAATTGGCCAAAACCTAGGACCAAAATTAACATGGAACAAATTGTCCCGAACCTCTCGCTATATTCCTACAATTAGTCAACTAACAAAAACAAAAATACAATACAACAACAAAACTAACAAAAACAAAACAGCAGCAACAACTAGCAAAAGCAAAGGACAACCATGCACAAAAAGCAACAAACTCTCAAAGGCAACCAAGACCCCAACGAACCCAAAAAACAGTCAGGGGCAAAATTGTCAATAAATAACAACCAGGGGCAAAACAGTCAACATCACAATCACAAACGGTGGCAGCAAACTCCACACAGCTCCAAAAGCAAGAGAAAAAACTTGAGATCAACAAACGCAGCAGCTAAGCAAAACACCGACCAGGGGTAAAATCGTCAAAACAGCAGAAAACACATCAAAGTTCAAACAGCAACCATAGAAGAAATTAGGTTAATGATGTAGCTATAAAATTAGCAATTAGATACCTAACAAAGAAATCACAAGTTTCCCCTTTTCCAACAATTAACAAAATCAATAATTCACAAATTAGGTTAATGATGTAGCTAATTTTTTATACTCACAGGAGAATCAGGGATTGAGTGATGCAATCGATTTCTGCAAGACAGAGTCAGAAAGAAGACGTGGATGTCTGTGCGCGCAAAGGAAGACACAAATCGACAGCAACGATGAAGAGTTGGTGTCAGTGTGTGTCGATGTGTTGTGCTACGGGATCGAATTGCACACAGATGGTGGGATGCGTAAACGAGTCTAATAAAACATTATACAACACTTCGCTTTGGAAGTGGTTTCTTAGTTCTTTATTTTTACAACAAAATCCTTCCATTTACAACTTATCAACAGTGTTATCCCTTTTGTTTTTTATTATTTGATTTTATCCAATGTTTCCATTCAAACTTTCTATTTTACCTTTTTATAACCCGTTTCTAGGTTTTTTTATCGCGAAACTCACAAAACAGTCATTTAATTTGCATTTTTATACGACTTTATTCTAAAAAATATGCTTTTTAAAAAAATACCCCATAAATTTAATACAAACATGTTAATTCCAATTGTTTTATCCTTTTTTTTTTCAATTTATGTTGTTTTCACAATTTTTTTAAATGAAAATATAATCATATCATATCATACTATATTATAAATGAAACACATTCATTTGAAACTCTCAACTTTTTATATTTCCATACAATATGCTTAATTTATTAACTTAAATATGCTTTTAGTTGTAAACATTATCATAAATGGAAGAATTTGTGACTTATCAATATGATATACTTAATTTGTTAACTTCAATATATAGTTAAATAAATGACCAACATTAATATATCAAATAAGCTTAAAAATTTAGTGTAAAATTTAAAACCTAAAGTAAAATATCAAATAAT